TTCTTCTGAATCCTCGGACCGCCCCTTCCCCTGCACCCCAGGTCCAGGCCATCAATGTGTCCAGCCGCTTTGAGGAGGAGATCAAGGCGGAGCAGGAGGAGAGGAAGAAGCAGGCCGAGGAGCTGAAGCAGCGGAAGGCGGCCTTCAAGGAGCTGCAGTCCACCTTCAAGTAGCCCGCAGCTGGGCCTGACCACCCCGCCGGGGCCTAGCGTCCAGCCCAGTGGGCAAGGGCCGGCGGGGTGGCCCCTCTGGGGCCAGGTCTGCTGCTCAACCCTCTGAAGGGACCACTTGGAAAAACCTGATGTCTGTGAATGAACAAGCGAAGGGTCCCGAGGGGCCCAGCCTCCGCTGCTCCCTCCCGCTGATCCTGGGCCATGACTCCAGCGGGCGCACTGCCGGCCTGCCCTCCCTGGCCGTTCCTGCGTCTCTAGCTTCCATGTCACACCAGCTGCCCTGCCACCTGCTCCCACGCTGCTGCCCTTGTGGGCTCCTGCTCTGGGCTCTAGGACACACTCTCCTGCTCACATGCTGCCCCTCCTCCGCCCTCTCCGCCCCATCTCCCAGCCCAAGTCTGTGCTCACAGCCCCAGGGCCCCAAGAGCCCCTACACAGAGGTGGGGAGGAGACCAGGGTGGGGGCATCAGACATGGAAAGAGCCAGGGCCCCTGGGCAGATAGAGCCCAGGGCTTTACCTGCAGCCCTGCCACCCTCACTTCTGGTGGGACGGGAGTGGGTGGGTGCTGTGCACTGTGCCGAAGAGATCCAGGTCCCTGACACCCCAAGCTGACACCAGAGTCCTGACTTCTGGGCTGGCAGGGCAGGGGAGGGGGCAGCTGTGCGAATCTACCTCACAGGCCCACCCTCTGTGGGGCATGTCAGAGGGCAGAAACACCAGCCCTACCCCCAACAACCTGAGGGTGTCGCGGGCCTCCCCAGAGAGAGTAGGGTGGGAGGGAGGATTGACTCCTTGGTCAAAAGGACAGCCACCCACCGCTTGGTCTCCAGAAAGTTTCCAGAAAGTGCTTTTATGTGTCTTGCATGCATTGGGTGGGTGGGTGGGGAGCAAAGGGGCCTCCCACCACCCCCTCCACACCATCCTGCCCCAGTGACGTCCACCTCACCACTGGGGATGGGCCCTCCTTGTACCCCTCACTGGGGGGCATGGCTAACCCCAAGCTGCACCCCGCCCCTCTGTGCTCGCTCACCTGTGTGTCTGTGTGGTGTGCGTGTGTGTCCTTGCTGTGTCGTGAAACCGTGACCGTCACCCAGTCCGAACCACAGCTCAGCCCGAGGCCCAGAGTTATGCAACTGTCTCTGTGTGTCCTGGCAGCATCGCGGCTTTGAACTCGATAACTCTTTATTTTAGTAAGATGCCCCAGGAGTTCTCCACGCTCCCGTCGGGCTGACAGAGGTGTTATTTTTTTGGCCATAGAACCTACATAGATGAGGTCCGGATGCTGAAGCCGGGGCCCTGCAGGGCATTTGCCTTAGTGGATATGTTTATACAGAAGAATATAAAGATTTCTTTTGGCATTTTGGTTTTTCACCCCCTCCCTCTCACACACACATACACACAAAGCTACTTCTTCATCTGGTGGTACGATTATTTTTTTTAACTAAAATGAGATAAAATTCTATATTCCTATGTGTGTGTGGTTCTTGTTGACCAGGAGGGTGGGGATGGAGAGGGGTTGGGAAGGAATGGGAACATGGGCAGCTGTAGCCCAGGAGGTTCTGGGTCTTGCCAGAAGGGGGAGGGGGCGTCTTCACTGGGAAGGCTGTGCACCAGGTGTTCTGTTCTGTGTGTGAACTCACTTTGTCCTCACAGCCAAGTCCATGGCGTGGTGGGGATTTATTTTCGTCCCCTTTGAGGGGGTGGGGGGACAGGAGAAAGCAAGAGGCCCAGATGGAGGGCAGGCTCAGCTGCTGGGTCCACAGCCCGTGCGTGCCCCGACCCGCAGAGCCACCCGGGGAACCTCCGTGGGGCAGTGGCTGGTGGCACCAAGGGTATGGGGATTCTGGATGGGTCTACCGTGGGTCCCAAAAGCATCCTCCCTGAGCATTTCCACCCCCACGGACACCCTAAGTATCTCCCGCCCTTGCTGCACACAGATACCCCAAAAATCCCTCACACATTCTAAATGCCCCCTACCACAGCCATCTGACACACAGATGCCCAAGTGTCCCAGACAGAGCTATCCCCAGTGATAACAAAGACACCCTAGCTGCACCCCTCCAGAGCCGCCCCAGACTGTTCTGAGCCACCGAGGAGGCGCCCCGGATGGAGTGGCAAGGAGATCTCTCAGCTGCAGCTCCCCGGGTGGCTTTAGACAGATCGCACACCCACCTGGTCTCAATGCCCCCATGTGCTCCGTGTGAGCGCAGGCGATGGTCGCAGGGTCTTTCCAGCTCCGCTTGCAGGTTGAGCACGCCCCTCTCCCTGGTGCTACCTGAGGTGGCAGGGGGTTGGCATTAGACTGTGAGTCACTGCCCCCAGGTGGTGGTGGGCGGTACTACATCTGCCGGCCTCTGGGAAGGCTGAGCCCTAGCAGAGAATTTCCAGGGAGGGGCGGGGGGCTGTTCTCGGAAGTACCCTCCCTACCCCCATGCCAGCCAGGGCTGAGATGCCGCTGTCATTAACACAAGACTTTGGGTTAAGCATTGCCTTGCACTGCCCCTCCCCCTAAGGAAGAACAACATCGAGATCTGAACATCTAGAGGAAGGGTCTCAGAAAAGAGGGGGAGGGGAGCCGGAAAGGGAAGGGTTTACGTTCATGCCCCAGATGCCAGTCCAGTTGGCCTGGAGGTGGACGCGGACCTCACAACCTCAGGAGAGAGACCAGCTGGCCCTACAGTGATGGTCTCAGCCAAGGCGGGGCCCGGGGGTTGGGGGGTCGGGGGCGTATGAGGGACCAAGCGTGCAGAGAGGGAAAGTTCCCAAGACCCTCCCCGGCCTGCACCGCTGTGTAAAGCTTCCCGGAAAACACAAACAAGCCCCGCCCGGAAACCCTCCCAGGTCCTGCCTTTGGTTTGGTTTTCCCTCCTGGAGACAGGCCACCCTCACTCAAGCCCCAAGCCGTCATTGGAGAGAGTCCCCCTGCCTCGACCAACTCCTGGTGCCCATCGCCAAAAATCTCAGCCCTTTCCTGAGGCCCCGCTGCAGTTCCTTACCGAGCCCCCACCCCTCTCTGGACTCTCCCAGGGTCACTGAAGCCATGGTCTCACTGGCCCCACCCCCACCGCCCAGCGCTTCTCTGGGCCCCTCTCTACACTCCTCTCTCACAGAACCCGCCCCACTTCATCTGGGTCTGAGGAGAAGCCCCATCAACCCTCAGCCTGCCCCTTTGGTGGACCTCACCTGAAGGGCAACAGCTGCCACCAGAGAGTCCGGCCCAGGGCCCAGACATCTGGCCCCTGCCAATGGCACCTGTCCGGTTTCTCAGACTCTCACCCCACCTACCACCCCCGCCTTGGCAATGCTTCTCCTGCTGTGGTCACGAGGCATCTCAGGGTTCAGTTTCGGCCCCAGGGTCACTGCAAATACCTTCTGCCAAGACACCTAAAGTATTTTTCCAGCATACTCTGGCTCTCACTAAGGGCCCAAGTCCTGAGAGGGTCCTCCCAAGCCGTGGCAAACGCTCAGTACAGGGGAATCTGGGTGTGCGACAATTGGAACATGTTGTGTATGCATCTTGGGGTGTCTGTGTGCAGTGGGGAGTGCTTGGGCTGGCCCCAAGTGTTGAGATGCTCAGAATGTGTGTCAGGGAGGATGCCTGGGGATTCCAAAGTACATCCAAGACTAATCCCACCTCATTCAGAGCTTCCAACGTCCAGCCCCTAGCCCTATCTGCCTCCCCAAAGAACACTCACACCAGGCCTGCAGGAAGGCTCTCCAGGGTTCTGGCCCCTGGCTGGCCCAGCAAGGGCTCCCCCTGAGCTGAGCAATGATGTCTTGTGGATGTCCCCAGCTCTAGTACAGGGTTGTCACGCCGTGGTGGTCACGGAATGTGGGAGGCATGGATGGATGGAGGAATGGATGGATGAATATGTTTGTGTACCACAGTCTGGAGAAACAAAATAGTTACAACTTTAACTATTCTAGTCTTCCATACCCTCCAACAGGAAATCCACTCTGCCAGAGAGCTTCAGTCACAAACGATCCTGGGATGGCTTCTTCAGTCTTGGTTACCATGGACAGAAAAGAGGGTCAACCAAGGGATCCCATTACATAGGCAGTTAGGAACACTGGAGCACGGCCGAGTCCTCTGGCTGTGGCTGCTCCCGCACTAGGGCTGTCATCAGGAGGGTCTGGCATCAGCTGTGGGTATGCCCAGAGGGACCCCTCCCCCACTCCACTCCCACCTCTTGGCTCCTGGCGAGCAGCCGTGGCTCTGGCTGGTGGCCCAGGGCACAGCTAAAGGCAGCCTCCAAGGCCACAGAGAAGGCTCACTCCCTGACTCACAGGAAATCCCCACAGCCAAGCCCAGCCCCCTAGCCCCGCATCACCTACTATCAGAGAGCTCGTGGGAAGGGCTTCTCGTCCTTCAAGAACCTGGTCACCGTGCCGGGAGCCCACCATGCCATCAGGGGACCAAGACAGGGAAAATGTAGGAACCACGTGAATGTCGCCTGGCCTGGATTCAGTTCATTTTCTTCCCGCACAAACACAAAACGTTATTTGTAGCCAAAGCAAAAGAGAGTGGAAAAAAGAGAAATCGCAAGGAGGCAATTAGCCCCCAGGACTAATGGACAGTGTAAACACAGCAGCCACGGGCCAGAGACCAGAACCAGATGGTGCCCGGCTACCACGCTGTAAAGATTCCCAAGAAGAGGTCTTGAGTGGCGTGGGAGAAAATGAGGAACAAAACATTATATCACAACACAGCTTAGGCTTAGTGGGCTGACAGAGGTTGGTGGAACCCCTGGGAGACCACAGCCTGTAGACACCTTTCTAGCTTGGAGCTGAACTCTCGCGGATGGCTCAACTCTGAGCCAAAGGAGAGACAGGTCTATAAAGTGAGCGATGACCCCAGAGAGCTATATACTTACTAGAATCGTCAACCACACAAGATCAAAGGGCAACATGGGATAGGAAAGAATGACAAAGGGAAGTGGCCAATACATTTGAGGCAATGGGCTCAAGGCCAGGGCACCGCCAATGTCCAATTGCAAGTTCAAGTTCAAGCTGAAGAAAGCAAGTCCACAGGAGCTTGATTCGATCCCACTGAATTCAGAGACCATCGCAAACACAGACTTGATGGAATTCTATTTGCTTTGTAACTTTCACCTAAACCACAACGAAACCTTTCCCCCCCAAAAGGAGTAGATTTGATGCACTGAACACTAAGGCCTAAAGGCCAGACGAATTCATTCTGGTATGATAGCCAGGCATCACGCATGAAGAAAGCATCAGAATACTAAAGAGACAGCGGGTGGGGGAGGGTGTGTGTGTGTGCAAAATAGATGTCAGGGGAGACTCTGACACTTGCTCTTGAAGGCAGAGCGGCTACGTGAAATGACGAAGGATGAGAGCTGGTGAACTTTGGAAAGGAACCTTGGGACGGTGAAGCGTTCTAGTGAAATGTGCGAAGACACGGAGTTAGGATCCCGAAAGAGACGACTAGACTTTGCATTTCTCAAGCTGAAAGAAAGAACTTAGGGAAAAGCAAGCCTCTGGTTGAAATCGTGAACCAGGCAGGAAACATCAAAAGAAAATGGAAGAAACACAGTCCCTTTGGTCTGTGTTGAGTCATTTCAGGAAATGGCCAGGAGCAAGAGCCAACGGGGAAGGAGCATGTCCGGGCTGCGCCGACGGCATTCGCGAAAACAAGTCTCCGGGAACTGACGGGATACCAACTGTGACATTTCAACCAATGAATGCCATTTGGGGTGTGTCCCAAGAAATTTGGAAGACAGGTACCTGGCCAATTGGCTGGAAGAGAACCATGGTTGTGTCCATTCCATAGAAAGGCGATCCGATAGAAGGCTGAAATAAATGGTGAACAACGCCGTTAATATCACAACTCACTCCCTTTGAGTTGATGCTGACTCATAGTGACCCTCTAGGACAGAGGAGTTTCTGAGACTGTAACTCGTGATGGGAGCAGAAAGCCCTGTCTTTCTGCCACATGGCTTACTATCACAAGCAAGTGAAAGGTTGCTAAAGATGACTCAAAAACAGTTGCAGCAACATGTTGACAGGGACCTGCCAGAAGTTCAAGTGAGCTTCAGAGAAGGATATGGAACAAGGGACACCCCGTTGACGTCAGATGGATTTTAGCTAAAAGCAGAAAACATCAGAAAGAGGTTTGGCTGTGTTTTATTGACTATGCAGAGGCATTTGACGGTGTGGGCGATAGCAAACTATGGTAACATTACCAAGAATGGGAATGTTCTGGAACACTTCACTGTGTTCACTCCGAACCTGTGCCTGAACCAAGAGGCAGTCGTTCAAACAAAGCAACGGCATACTGTGTGGTTTAAAATCAGGCAAGGTGTGAGAGGCCGGGCTATGTAAAAAAGGGGCCCCGGGATTGGAGGAAGACTGAGGAGCAATCTGCCACGTGTCCACGACACATCCCTGCTTGCTGGCCGTGAAGAGGACCGAAGTGGAAGCCTCTGCTTCCCTCACAAAAGG